AGTTTGTCAGCTGGTCTGTCTCAACAGAGCTGCTAATATGCGAAAAAATCTGTCACAATAAATGACGCAGCTTTCAACACACAAGTGATTTCGGTAAATCGGTGAATATGAGCTTATGACCGCTAGATTCGGCGAGCAGCAGTGCCAAACATTACCGTAGCAGATGCAAACGTCTCCGTGGGACCAAGGACGTAACACAAGCAATGGTTATAGTTATGTCTGGACGTGAACGTAGCACTACCGTTGGCTATAGTTACGGCTGGATGTAACAATAGCGCAGGCTATAGTTACGTTTGGACATAACGATTGTGGTGGCTATAGTTACGTCTGGACGTAACGACTGCGGTGCTTACAGTTAGGTCTGGACGTAACGCTAGCCACACCGTTCTGGAAAACAAAAAATTCCGGTGGTTTTTAGTAAACATTATATGCTGGTGAACCAACCAGACTTACCACAAGATAATGCGTGTGTGTGTGTGTTTATGTGAGAGTTCCTGTCATTGAAATACGATATGACATCTAACAGAGGGATAACCCAGAGAAAACAAGAGATGAAGTGATGCTTTGCATAGCTACACTTTACCAGACCTCAGATGAATTAAGAATGTTTATGTTCATAAACCTCCAAATTGACATGAACCACTGAAAACTAGAGATAATCCTATAAATGTTACCTTTAATCTAAACTCAATGGTTTGATGAAAATAAATTTATAAATTAAAGAAAGCTTCTGCCCAGGTTATTAAAGCCCCACAGCTGACATAAGAACAGAAAGGAAAAGAAATAAGCTGTGCAATGCATAGCTAAACACAATTTTTTTTAATGCTTACGTTGACAACGCAACTTGACATGTACAGATGAGAGGACAGGAGAACCGAAATGTTCACTGTTAATGCATAGCAATGATATTGACAGTATCAGCAAGTTTTTGTTGTCATGGTCATGCTTACATAAAGTCCAAGCTGATAACACGGCCCTATACATCTTATGTTCTACGCGCAAGCACTTGTGACGAACGCAGATTAGGGCTCTTGCTTTGGATCAAAAACCTGTATGTACCATTCGCGTGTGTGCTGGTACAATCTACTGTGTGCATGTGTGTGTGCGTGCATGTGTGTATATGTAACAAACATGTTAATAAGTATGCACTTAGCGGTTGAAGGGCGCACTAGGGGCCGGATATCGCTACCGCGTACAACTCTTAAGGTGGCGGTCCCACTCCAGTGGCAAGAGCTCGACATTTTAGTCGTTGTTTACTGGCTCACTGCGCTTGCTCTGCTCAATGGAAGAATATGAGTTCTATTGCATTAGAAAGTTTACGTTCTCCGCTTTCTAATGACAACTAGTATTTTCGCCTAGTCTGGAGTGTTATTTCATGGCAATTAAAACAGTGTAAGCAAAAAACAGCGTTTTTGCTGTACAAGCCTCCGTTGTACTGCCAGTGCAGCAAAACTGTCCAACATAACGAAATGAAATTTGCTGAGCCTTTTAACGAAGCGTTATGCAAGGTTTCTATGAAGAGATATTGCCAGTAAAGCAATTAGAAATTGATTCACGCTCTAATAAAAATGGGCAAAAGAATGAAAGTTTATGAGTAAATAACTTTTTTTCTATTTTGTGCAGAACAACAATATTGAATGGGTTTCCAGGCTACAATGTACATTATGTGTACGCGAAGTTGTTTTGTGTTCTGATGAACAGTTCTTGAATTATTACTCCTTCAATACGGCAATTTATGGCGCTACTTGGTCAGGCATTACCGACGAAGAGACAAAACTATCGAAGCTGAAACTCTGAAAACTTCAATAATAAATCAGCAAGCCTTTCTCTAGGTTTCTATGAAGAGAAAATTGTCGTAAGTTAATTAGAAAATTTGTAGAACAGCAGTGAATTTAGCTCATTTTTCTGCTTGCCAGGTTTGTGCAAATTTCCTTTTTTTGTCTTTTGTAGGCTAATTCACAACAAGTATTGCACATTAGCAGGACCATGTAGTGTCTTGTAATCACCAGTACTCACTAACTTTACGAAGCGGCGCTTGAAACAAAAGATTTTTCAAAAATAATAAAGCTCGCAAACATTTTTTGACGGTGGCGCCATCTGTCAAAAAAAACATCAAGTTGTTTTACGTCAGTTCCGACGTTCGTCAAAAGTGGCGCTTCTAAACATAACTAAGCCGCCAAAACACGGATGGACTTCTTTAGACTTCAGAGGCTAAATCCTGCTGAAAAAGAAAGAGAGAGAAAGGAAGAAGGGAATAAAGCGTGTTGCACTGTACATCAGGAATGCATAGCCAGCAGGTTAGGCTATTGTGCCAAAGATTCCAGGAATTGCTTGGTTGCTCGCCTTTGTACTCAGGTGACTGTAGAAGCGTTTTTGAAGGACACAAAGAACTGGACCTTGCCTCCCCATATTTTTGAAGCCTGTAGGACATTATCTGAAGCGCGCTTTCCCATCGCAGGGAGGTGAGGAGTGTCTGGCAGTGTATGTGTGTTTGAATATTTCACGTGACGCCGGTTGAACTAGGATAACAATGGACTTTTTTTCGGGAGACTAGCCTGCGCATGCGAAGTGGTGCAAGTGGTGGTGACTTGACGCAATGTTTTGGGGGAGTAACAGAGCCAAACAGCTTCTATAAACGTTGCACAGGGCGGCGACAGGTGCGAACTGAAGGGCACCTGGCGTCGTTTGCAAATTATCCCGAAAAATACCAGGCCTACGAGATTTTTCTACCGGGCCGTGGCGGATAACTTCGGAGGCCACGGACTCCCAGTTTCGATTTCACTGATCTCCAATGGAGGCGCTGTTCGGACCTGAAAAAGGCCCATTGACTCTGATGATTTGAGGCTGATCCCTTTGTATCGGGCGGGCAAGATTAATTCGCCCTAACCAGAGAACAAAAAAAAAACACCTATCAAGTAAATAAACTAAAACACTCCACAGGCGTACACACCCCGTACCAGTTCGTATAGTTAGTCTGAACGCCTTCAATTTTTGTCCACGTAAATCACTACCTCTGCGTCGCACGCCTCCACTGCAACAGCCTTGTTGGATGGATGGATGCATATGAGCGTCCCCGTTATAATGGGGTGGTGACAAGTGTGCCACCTGGCTCGACAAAAAAATCTTTCTTTTTTTCTTTTTTTTATGTTGGCCTTTGCAAAATAGTGAGCGACCCCTGGCCAATACCCTTTAGACTAGCTGAGGCCTCTTGACGTCATCACACTACGACGGGAGCGGATGCCGCGTTCTCAGAAATGCCCATTGTTACGCGCTCGTTGTGTACTCAACGGCGCGCTGCGAATCCATTCGTTCATGCTGTCTCCCGTTTCCCGAAAGCGCCGACAAGGCAACTCCGTCGTAGAGGGCAACCCCGTCGTAGAGGATGCGGCGATATCCACCACCTCTAGCAGAAGCAAGAAAGCCAGAAAAAAAAACGGTCCTTGTCAGGACCAACCTTCTCGATGCTTCGGTGGAGATTTCGCACTGAATGCGTTCTTCGTTCAACTGCCGTCTCTCTCTGTGTTCTGTTTTATTTATCTCTTACTTTAGGTTGCTGCTATCTAGACAGCTGAAAATAATGCACATTGCCCAATGTTGCCCGACTTTGCCATTAGCAGCCAACCTGCGAGATGAAATTATAATTTTAGTACAAGAACAATCGCTTCCGTGTGCCTTATTGGACAGCCTCTTGGAAAAGCTGAGCTAGTTTTTGGGTGTCGACTCTAGGTCTGTACAGATAGGTTGGGTTTCGCTGAGAAAAAGCCCTTACGCATTTTATTATTCAATACTCCCAAAAGGACGCAATTCGCATCTGTGTTACGACTTGCGCTCTTCGGTGCGGTGCTAGGAGGACTCGTTTTATAGATGAAAAAATTGTCTCTCATATGTTCCGCTAAAGCTGAGCAGCGCATTCGTGTATACGCCTTGTGCACCGCCTATAGAGGCGCCACTGATAGCCACCTGCGCCCCTTATATCTGTTTACAGCTGCGCCCCATACATTTGTTTTGGGATGCATGAGGCTCATAGTGTTCTCGCTAGCAAAAAGGCAAAGCCCTTCTGTCGTTCATGCATACAAAATCACCATTTTTGGCTCACTGCAAGGCACGGAAAAGGGGCTTTGTGTAATGATAGCCAGGAAGTAGTGGAAAGGAGCTTCCTGGGTAGCTTCTGAATGTAGCGACATAAGTATCAAGCGGACCATGCGCGACACCCACACTACATTCACAGTCGAACCAAAGCTGCTGACAGTGGAGAAATCTATAATTACTATGCACGTGCACAAGGTCGGCGTTGTTCCACGCGACCCAACACTGCCGGTATTCAGGGCCACTGAAGAACTTCCTCGAGAACTACTCTTTTTCTTTCTACTCTTTTTTAGCGAGGAAGAGAAAGAGTGGGTTCAGAAACCAAACCATTATTTCGTTACCAGGAGAGAGAGAGGCACCTCTTTTCCGGACAGTTGCACGGGAGTACAAAGGCTCTCGGGTTCATGCCTTTTTTTGTTGCTGTTGTTGTTATTGGGGAGCGGGGGGGGGGGGGGGGGGTCACGCACAAAGGAGATATGGGAGCAGGGGCACCCCCGAAAAGAATGGATTAGTTCCAGCAGGAACAGGCTCTTCGCCACTGCATGCTACGACGGCGGGAGAGTGCATTTCCTCCCTTTTTTCCAACGTGACTTAGTGGCGTCTTCTGTGGCTCAAGCAGAAACTACTCGCAAGATGGCGACGGTGGTACCGTCACCTTAAGGGTGAAGCTAAAGGGTCCCCCACATTTTTGTCATGAAGTTCTGTTGTCTAGCTCGCTGATGGATATCCGATGTCATTGCCGAACCGAGGAGCACGCCGACTTAAATAATCTGGTGAATCGCATCTTGTGAGTGTCCTCACCTAAAGAGAATGTATTCTACGTCTTGCTTCAATATAAAGGTTCTTGCCATTCATGTCAAAGCATAGTAGAAACCAGTCTGTAATTACCATCACCTGTGTGACAAATGTCTCACCAGAAACATCCCAGCACGGATGGGTAGGGCGAAGGAGTAGAAGGCCGTCTTGAATGTGACGGTGGCCCAGTACAGGTCCATCGTGGGCTTGCACTTGCTGCCCGGAGCAGCAGCCACCATGTCCATTTCCTGACCGAGCACGGTTCGAAGGTCGCCCTCGTGGAAGAGCTCTATCAGCGGGAGGTAGCAGGGCAGTGAACGAAGCCGCTGCCTCAACACCCACCTGAGGGCCTTGTCGAAAAAGAGGGCATCGTTGATGGCCCGTAGTCCGACATTGGGGCACTTGTACCAACAGGGGTGGGCGCGGCGCATTGACGATCCGTCCATGATGTCATCTAAGATGAGGAAGTAGCACTGGAGCTGCACAACACGCGTGTGTGCGATAAATGCTTCAATGCCTTACTTGCAATGATGACAAAGCAAGCATGCGAACAGGTTTCAGCGAGAAAATGAATTGATCAAGGGCAATCACATTGATATCAGTCAGATTTGCAGTGATAAAGCAGGAGCATGTACCAGGTAAGACACATGGTGTAGCACAGCAGGGAAATTTGTGTCTTATTTTAGTTATTGCAAGACATTCGTTAATGATGCAACAACATTACATCAATCGTAAATTCATCAATCAAATTTGCACACTTTACACATTACGTGAGATGCAATTTACACAATCTGCTTTTCAAGCAGAGTTGCATATTCATAAACTTCATGCTGAGCTTTTTCTTTTTTTTAACTTGCCAGTATTCAGGCATACTACTAAAAAATTACAGACCCTAAATACTAATTGTACATCGTAAAGTCATTAGAGTTGAACTTTTTCAAATGCAACAAGTTTCACTGAGATTAGCCCAGCCATTGTCCAATAATATCGCTTCTGCATTTTACTGATCAGGACTGACCACTAGGTAAAGTTCATTTATCAGTTCATTGATGGCTATCGAATAGTGAAGATTTCAAGTACATTTCTAAATCATGGGCACGATTTGGCAAATGCGTGCAGGTATTTTGATTGGACACACGAACTCATCCTCAGTGACGCAACACCATAGCCTACTATGCCACCGTTTTTGTGAACATTTTGTCGATGTGGTTCACGTTTCGCACATTCCTTCATCTTACGACTTCAATTTCTATAAACAATTTGCATTATGTATGTATGTAGTATACATATATATGTGTGTAGGCGTGTATAAACGGATAAATAAATGTGGTGTCTTGTGACTTCTAGTGCGGATTCTATAACCGCATGATAATCAAGAGCAGTGTGGCTTTTTGCTGTTAATGGACCCCCCTCCAGCCAATGGCGCTGCCACGTTGCCATGACCTTATAGAAGACCACTTTTGCACCACGCTCACATGATGATAATAATATGTAGGTTTTAATGATGCAATCACCATGTTTGGCCAAAGAGCACCATGACAAATGATGAAAGAGTAACAATGACGCATAATTTACGATGATATTGCCACGTTCCATTTCACAAGTTTTTGTAATCGTTCGAACACCACACGATTCTCGGCGCAAACCGCGCCTGCAGGTTTCGAGAAGGTTCCGGACTGTAGTAGATCATTTCGATAAGATCAGATCACGCCCACTGTGCGAACGGTACAGATTGTTCTGGAACCTACGCCACCGCCAGCGATAACGCTAGAACATTCGACGGCAAGGGTATAAATGCCGACGCGCTTCGCCGCTTGTCAGTTGTTGATCGAAGGCCGACGCTGCGTTCGCCGCTATCAGTCCGAGACTGCTATCTGTGCAAGACTGCTGCTGTAATTAGACTTTTCCTTTACCGGGCACAGGTACGCCCAAATAAACAGTTAAATCCCAACACGAAGTTTCCTGTCTTTGGCCACGTCACGACCTCATGACATCTGGTGGAGGTGCTGCTTCGTTCATGTACCGGACGCCCCTGTCAAGCCGTGAACCCAGCCCCCGTCGCGGAGAAGACACCGGCGCCAACCAAGAGCAGCGAACGAGCCGCCGACAGCAAGGTCTCCCACCGGAGTACGGCCTTCTAGAAGACAAGGCGCGGAAGACCAAGACCATGACCTCGACTGCAGCGACAATGACAACCGGAGCGTCCCAGCCCGTGATCGTCATTCATCAACCCAGGGAACCACCAACATTCCGTGACTCATCGTTTGAAGACCCGGAAACCTGGCTAGAAACATACGACCGTGTGGCCGCCCTCAACCACTGGGACAACGAAGAAAAGCTCCGTCGTGTGTACTTCTAACGTGGGATGTCTTCTGCGGCGCATTTCTGCAAACGTTCACCAACGTCGCTCGCAAAGAGAGGGCCGCTGCTCTACTCGAGACCCGGGTTCAGCTACCAAATGAAAAGGTTGGAATTTTCACAGAGGAGATGACCCGCCTATTCCGTCACGCTGACCCAGACATGCCTGAGGAAAAGAAAGTTCGTTTCCTCATGCGAGGGGTCAAACAGGAGCTCTTCGCGGGACTAATGAGGAATCCACCGAACACCGTTCAAGAATTTGTATCCGAGGCGACCACCATCGAAAAAACGCTGGACATGCGCACCAGACAATATAATCGTCGCCTGACTCCAGAATGCGCTGCTGCTCAAGCCAGTGACTCCGACGACCTGCGTGAAACGATCCGAGCGATCGTGCGGGAAGAGCTGCGCAAACTGTTGCCTTCGGCGCAGCCTCAAGTGGATTCAATCGCCGACATTGTGCGAGAAGAAGTCCGGCAATCGCTTCGAATTCCCGAAACACCGCCGCCCGAGCCAGAAACTATGAGCTACGCCGCTGCAGTGCGCCACAACGCTCCTCCCCGTCCACGCCAAAACGCCGCCCCGTCACACTTCCGTCGCCAGACGCCACCACCCCGACCGACGTTCTACCGTTCCCCAGCGGGTCAGCGCAGTGCACCGAGGAAAACGGACGTTTGGCGTGCACCTGACAACCGCCTGCTCTGCTACCACTGCGGCGAGGCCGGGCACACATACCGCCGTTGCCAGTACCGACAGATGGGACTGCGTGGCTTCGCCGTCAATGCACCGCGTCCGCAGCCAGGAGATCGGCCACGTGACATCGCCGACTACCTGGCAGGAACTCAATGGACACCACGAAGCCCTTCCCGTTCGCCGTCGCCCAGCCGCCGCATGTCACTGCACCCCCGGTAGTACTCTGGCCCAACGCGGGCCCGGTCTCCTAGCCCGTATCCGGGAAACTAAGGGCAGCAACCGATGTAGGTGCGGTTGCTGTGCGACGAACTACCGAAGATCCTCCGACGACGACGCCGACGCGACGGAGCTTTTTGAACACAACACCAACCAGGCAAAGCCCTGAAGGCAAAAGGTCACTTACCGAAGGTGGCCGGACGACGCAACATGGAAGCAGCGGAACAAGCCGACGCAGCCGTGACCCGACGCCACGCCCTAACTGTAATGCGAGACGACGAACTAGCGACCTCGACGTTCTTATCGACGGCCACAGTGTGACTGCTCTCGTCGATACTGGAGCCGACTATTCTGTCATCAGTGGGTCGTTCGCCGCGAAGTTAAAGAAAGTTAGGACAGCTTGGAAAGGCCCTGAAATCCGCACAGCCGGAGGTCATCTCGTAACGCCTGCAGGAATCTGCACAGCGAGAGTCACCATTAACGGCCGTATTTATCCTACAGACTTCGTAGTCCTACAGCGTTGCTCGAGAGATGTCATCCTTGGCATGGACTTCTTATGCCTCCATGGTGCTGTCATCAACCTAAAAACAAGGTCGATAATCTTATCCACAGAAGAAGCACTACCGCCGCGCACGCCGTCAGGACACCATGCCTTGAATGTGCTGGAAGAACAAGTCACTATTCCGCCTCGCTCAAGCGTCATTATTTCAGTCGGCGCTCCTAAATCACCTGACTTGGAAGGCGTCGTTGAAGGCAGTCAGCATCTGTTGGTCACCCGAAATATTTGCGTCGCAAGAGGAATTGCAGAGCTGCGGGGAGGCAAAGCAACGGTTATGCTCACGAGTTTCAGCAATGAGTACAAACATGTGAACAAAGGAACAACGGTCGCATACATCGAAGAAATTGTCGAAGCCACCAGTGCTTTCGCCCTCACCGATTCTGCGGAACCTGCTCAGAGGAACCAAGCCCCTCCCATAGCTTTCGACGTCAATCCCAGACTTCTGAACGATAAGCAAGAACAGCTCAAGGCCCTGCTCCTGCAATACGAAGATTGCTTTTCGTCGTCATCGAAAATTCGGCAGACCCCAATCACGAAACATCGAATCATAACCGAAGAAAATGCCAGACCACTCCGTCAGAGTCCGTACAGGGTTTCGACGCGAGAACGTGAGGCAATGAAGAGACAAGTTGATGAAATGCTGCGAGATGACATTATCCAGCCGTCCAAGAGTCCGTGGGCATCCCCCGTGGTGTTAGTGAAGAAAAAGAATGGGACCCTACGTTTCTGCGTCGACTATCGCCGCCTGAACAAAATCACAAGAAAGGACGTGTATCCTCTCCCACGAATAGACGACGCACTTGATCGGCTCCACTATGCCAAGTACTTCTCGTCAATGGACCTCAAGACTGGCTATTGGCAAATTGAAGTCGACGAAAGAGACCGAGAGAAGACGGCGTTTATAACACCGGACGGCCTCTTCGAGTTTAAGGTGATGCCCTTCGGCCTTTGCTCAGCGCCTGCAACTTTTCAACGCGTTATGGATACAGTACTGGCAGGATTGAAGTGGCAGACTTGCCTTGTGTACTTGGACGACGTCGTCGCGTTTTCCTCGAGTTTCGACGAGCATCTTCGGCGCCTTGAAGCTGTACTTCAAGCCATCAAGACGTCCGGACTCACACTGAAGCCAGAAAAGTGCAGATTTGCGTATGAGGAGCTCTTGTTTCTGGGGCACGTTATCAGCAAGTCTGGAGTTCGTCCCAATCCACGGAAAACAGCCGCCATCGCGGACTTCCCGCCGCCCACTGACAAGAAGGCCGTGCGCCGATTTCTGGGCCTGTGCGCCTATTATAGGCGGTTCGTGAAAAACTTCGCCCGCATCGCCGATCCTCTCACTAACCTTACCAAGGCCGACTCGGAGTTCAAGTGGGAAACGCCACAGGAACACGCTTTCCAGGAGCTTAAACATCGCCTCCAGACGCCTCCGTTACTTGCCCATTTCGACGAATTCGCCGAGACAGAAATGCATACTGACGCAAGCAGCGTAGGTCTTGGCGCCGTTCTTGTGCAGAAGGCTGACGGACGTAAAAGGGTTATTAGTTACGCCAGTCGATCGCTATCCAAAGCAGAAGCAAACTATTCCACAACAGAAAAGGAGTGCCTCGCCATCATCTGGGCTACGTCGAAATTTCACCCCTACCTCTATGGCAGGCC